TCTGCCTGGCTTTTCAGGCTCCCTTTGCCGGCTCCGCTTACTTCTCAGTCTTATCACTAAATCCTCCTCCTCTCTCCTATTCCCGTACCAGAAGACTCAGACAGGTTAGTAACGTGAAGGCTGCTGCTGATCAGAATACAACACTTTGCTTAGCTGGTCTTCTGTGACCCATGTGAGATGTGAAGCCATTTGCTGCTACCATGAAAAGAAGAGAAGGCAAGTGTCAGGAGACTAAATGGCCTTTCACTTCTCCTGAGCTGCTGGTGAGTTAGGCTAAAAGGGGAAAGTAGTGTTTGGCTTTGGAGGCATTTCTGTACTCACCTTTGAACATGGGTGCATCTGATGAGGAAGGGATTTCAAGGGAACTAATAAAGACAGAGTCAGACCACATGAGAACAGGCAACTGTGTTATCCAACACAGTTTATGAGAAAAGGCAATCCTCTGGGCTGTTTGTAGATGCCTGGCCTCTATCTTGTCTAGGAATAGAGTGATATTTAGATCTAGACTCACCCAAGTTTATAAAGCACCTACTAGGTACATACTGGACACTCTCGGAACACGTAGCGGGCTGGGTATTAGGATCTCCTCCATTTCAGGGAAGAAGGGCTAATTAACATGCCAAGGTTACAGAGCGAAGAAATGAGTAGCTACAACTCAAGTCCAGGTCTTCTGACCCCAAGCTTAGCTCCTCGGTTAGCGATCGCTCTGAATTGAACTTGAGTATTAAAGGTATTCACTAGCTAAGGGGGAAGACTGAACCTGCCTTTTCACCCCCACTGAGTGGGATGTTGCAAAGGGGAGGGGTGAGAATGGCTACTAAGGAATACAAACTCCATCAAATACATAGGTTTTCCCACCCTGCACATGATGCATCAGCTAGCTAGCTGAAAAACTGAACACAGGTAGAACTTGGAGGGTTTTGCCTAAGCAAAGCAAGCAGAATGCCAGCCATGACCACAAAGAGAGGACTTCTAAGGAACAACATGCAGAGGCTTAGAGGTTCTGAAGCTTGCTGTGAAGTCAAAGGGAAGAGGAACAGTCAACCAGCCACTCGGGGCCTTTCGTTGCTAGTTTGCTCCAACTGGAGACCTGGTTCATGGGTGGGCGAATGCCATCTGAATATGACAGTGCAAAGAGGCCTAAAGAGAAGTCAGGCAACTTCTAGGTAATGATACCAAAAAGAGAAAGTCCAGGCACTGTGCTAGATGGCTTTATTTATCATAAGATGTAATTTTCACAACCTGGTGAGGCAGGTGTAATTATCCCTATGAAATTAAAACTCAAAAAAATCAGGTAACTTGCCCAAGTCACAGTAGTTAAGTTGGAATATGAGCCCCAGGCTCTGGGCCTTTGGCCTGAGCTGCCTTCATCACAGCCCACAAGCACCATAAAACCAGAGAAACCAGAGCATAAGGTAAACCCACATTTGGTCACTTTCCACAGTTTCTGTACGTGCAGAGCAGGCTGCACACATTCTGGTCGTCTGGCCTTCCACGGTCCAATAAGGAATCTTCGGAAAGGAAAGGGAAGCAGGCAGTGAGCACGTGCAGGAACCAGCCCTGGGCACCAGGGTGGCCACAGGAAAACTGGGCTGTGGCTTTGTGTCACCCACTGCCCTCTGCTGGCCACTGGAAAGAGCAGGTGGAAAGAGGACCAAAGATTCATTTCAGGTTGAAGGGTCAAGAGGTGATGATGACAGATTTTTAAAAACATTTTATTAGAGAAAAACTCAAACTTATAAACGAAGAGTAGATCATGTCTCATGTTTCTTCACTCAGCTTCAACAATATATCAATTCAGGGAAAATTTTGTGTCCTCTACCCCTAACCCCCTTCCCTCCACCATGTTTTATTTTCAAGCAAATCTCAAACATCCGGTCATTTCATTTATAAAAATGTTAATATGTATTTCTAGAAAAAAGAAAAATTTAAAAACCCCGTAACACATGATCACAGATTAAAAAAAAAAATCCATAAATCTAATAATTCCTTATGGGACAAGAAGCCCAAAATAGAAAAAAAAAGAAAGAAAACCCAAAACATTCAGCCTCACCCAAGAAGCTGCAATCATGCAAATCACAGATTAATAGTCTGAACCACCCAAGCAAACAAAAACACCTCATCTTCAGCCTTGCCAGGATAAACCAGCAGGAACATAGATTAAATAAATACCTTAATTGGAAATGCAAAGCTATGCACTCCTGCACAGTAGGAAGATCTTCAGCTGAGTAGATTTGGCACACGAGCTACTAAATCTTTGTTGAATTTTTGGCCGAATCTTTCCAAAGACTCAGGAGGGGCAGCGCTGTGTCCTTGGGGCCAAACACAGCTGGGTATCTAGGAAGCTGGGGTGAGAGGTTAAGAGGTGTGACCACGCCAACTTCCTGGCAATTTCAGCCCAGAGATCAGAATCAGGCTGAAAGATTACTCCCTACATGGCGTTACCTCTGTGCCATCTATCACCCAGTACTGCAAATTTCTATTTACACATCTGTCTCCCCTTCTAGATTATGAACTCCCTGAAGGCAGGACGGTGTGTTCACTTTTGTATCCTGCATGGCTGGCACATTAGAGAGGCTCAGTAGATGGTCACATAAAGAAAGACTGAACTAGGAAAGTTCATCATTTGACAATACCAAGTGTTGGAGAGAATGGGGAGAAAAGAGAACTCTCATTTCCTGCTAGTAGGACTATAAATTGATATAACCACTCTGGAGGGCAATGTGGCAATATCCAAAGATACGTTCAAATGCTTAAGCCCATAAAACAAGAACAGGATGTTTTAAAATTTTTTTGAAAAATATATATTCAGGGGCGCCTGGGTGGCTCAGTTGGGTAAGTGTCCGACTCCTGATTTCAGCTCAGGTCATGATCTCAGGGTCATGAGATCGAGCCCTACATAGGGCTCTGCGCTCAGCATGGAATCTGTTTGAGATTATCTGCCTCTCCCTCTGCCCCTCCCCCTGCTCGAGTGCACACATGTGTGTGCGCTCCCTCTAATAAGTAAATCTTCAAAAAAATAAACAAAAATGTACATTCAGAGAATAAAAAAAGAACACAGAAAGAGCCTGGAAACTAAAAATACAATAGCAGAAATAAAATACTCAAGAAGGGTTGGAAGCTAAAGTTGAGAAAATCTCCCAGAAAACAGAGCAAAAAGAGATAAAAAATAGGAGACAAAAGAAAGAAAACCAAAGGGCTCTTTGAGGAGGTCCAATATCTGAATAAAAGGAGTTCCAGAAAGAGAAGAGAGAAAACAGATGCGAGGAAGATAAAAAAAACAATAAAAGAAAAATTTCTTATATTCTTATTTTCTGAGGTTCCAAAATGAAAAGGCAATGAGTACCCAGTAAAGTAGATAAAAACAGATTCATTATCAAAGCATATCACTGAGAAATGTCAGAGCCCTGGGGGCAAGTGAAGACCTAACCGGCTTCCAGAAAGAATATACACAAAGGAACAAAGGACAGAATCAGAATGGCTTTGGACCTTGACAGCAATCCTCAAGTGAGAAGATAATTGGAATAATGATATCGAAATTCTTTTTTTTATTTTTTAAAGATTTATTTATTTGACAGAGAGCGAGCGAGAGTGCACAAGCAGGGGAAGTGGCAGGTAGGGGAGAAGCAGGCTTCCTGCTGAGCAAGAGCCCGATGTGGGGCTCAATCCCAGGACCCTGGGATCATGACCTGAGCTGAAGGCAGCCGCTTAACTGACTGAGTCACCCAGGCGCCCCATGATATCGAAATTCTTAAAAAAATGACTTCGAATCTATCTCCAGCCTAAGTGTCAATTATATTTGAGGGTAAGCTAAAGATATTTCTAGTTATTCACGGTCTCCCAGTTTGCCTCCCTGCATCCTTTCTCAGGAAGTTACTGGAGGCGTGCCTCACCAAAATGAGAGTGTACACCACGAAAGTAAAAGACACAAGAGACAAGAGACAGGGGATCCCTCCCACGAGACAGGGGAAGACAATCTCCATGGGAAAAGAAAGTCGTGCAGGGAAGGAAAAGTGTATGATACGGCTCATCTATGAATCACAGTAACAGAGTCATACGCTGTAAACTCTGATGACTGGCTTCACCAAAGCTACACAGCAACTACCCGAGGACCCAGGGAAGGGAGGGGTGAGCGTGTGCGGCGGAGGGTGGGTACAAGAGCTGAATTCGAATCTGCCAGAGTGAGAAGTCCACAGATGATGCCGACAACGGAAAAGGAGAGAAGCAGCAGTATACGCCTGCTATTTAGCAAACTGACAGTGGACATAAAACCAAGTCACTAGGAGAGTTAGCAGCAGTGGTCTCTGGAGACGGGAAATTGGGGCGGCGGGGGAGAAGGGCAAGGTACTACTGCTTTGGCAACAATATGCACGTGACTTTCATAAATCCTAAAATGAGGGGATGACCTGCACACAAGGAGATATTCAGAAAACTGAGAGGGGCAGTAAGGCTTCCAACAGCACCTCACATGGTCTGACGGTTTTAGATCAGATGACAGTGCTGTTCTGCCTGTCTGTACACCAGTGCTATGTCCTAATTCACGACCACCACACTTCAGCACTTCAGAAGTACTTGCAGGATATAGATGCAGCTTTACGTTTCAATCGGGAATGCTGAGGCCACTCAATCCAGCAGGTACATTAAGCCCGGATCTCCGAAAAGGAAATGATTTTACTTTGCAAATAACTGATGTCTCTAAGAGTACATTTTGAGATGTTGGTTCAGAAGCTCTCCCCCTGCCACCTCCCTTGACTGAGAGCTCGCATAACCCAGAGCTCCAGGACTCGGCCCAGCTAACAAACACAGGAGACGAGGGTGGCAAACAGTGATAGGAGCTTTGTATAGAAATATGTACATTTGTGTAATAGGCCTTTTCATGCTTTATATGTAGCTTTTTACCTGTAACCTTCATTACATTGTGAATTAAACGTAACTCTTGTCAAAAACAAAAACAAAACAACAACAACAAACAACAACCATGGATTTTCGAAAGTTCTTACCAGCAGTGAAAATGCCTTTGGTGCTCTGTTTCATACTAGAAGGTCTCACAATTGCTGAAAGCCCTGTAAGAGAAAACCAGCAAGAATGCCAAAAAAGCCAGATGTTAGTCATCTTAACACTTTTAAAACCTAAAACGAAATATTCTTTCCAGTTATCCAAGAAAACCAGCAAATCCAGCTCTGCCCTGGTGTCACAGAATGACAGTGGAAGGGGTATCAGGATTGAGGGCCAGGAGACCGGAGCTGACAGCCGTGTCACCGACCAGCCGTGTGAGCTCAGGCAAATGCCTGCTCCCCTCTGGGCCTGGACCTCCTCACCTTAATTAAAATGGGGGGGGGTCAAGTCACCCTTAAAGGTCATTTTATGACTTTAAATCTGCTTAAGGAGGCTGGATCTCAACCCCAAGATGGGAAATGATTAAAAAGAACCCAAAGTTTCTGCCTAGGAGAAAAACTTCCATTCTGAAAACATACACTGGACTCCTCAGTCCTTCATCCTCTCACAAAGGCAGCAGAGATCATATTGTGACTAGAATCATGTTAAAATGAAAACAAACAACTTGGCTCTTCACTTATCTTCAGAATAGGCACCTGGGAACCTAAACGCATGCTCTGACAGCCTGGGGCAGGTTCCTGGGAGAGTGCGTCACTGGAGGGGCATCTGGGGCAGTAGCTTGCATCTTTGAGGAGCTCAGGAAATATTTACTCAATAAAACAGGAGAACGTGCTCATCTGGGGACGGGAGTCCTTTTCAATCATGATTATTTTTTACTGACAGCCCTTGTGAATTATCTTTAACGCCTCAAAGGGAAGTGGGTCTCTGAAGATAAGATTTTTGGGTAAACATTGGGAAGGCCCTGGGGATAATATGTAGAACATGGGCCATGTCAGAGGGAACTGACGGAACACATGATGAGACACACTGAACGGGAGTCGGCTGATGAAAGCTGTGTTCCTCATGTTAGAAAAGCACTAAAAATGGCACCAGTCTCCTTCTTTCTCAGACCACCATGAAGGACACAGAGGAGTCTTTGGAATAACTTCTAGAAGTTACGCTCTTGGAACCAAAACAAACATTGTTTCCCCCTTTGACAGTGATTTAGGACCCAGGAATCTGAAAACAGAAGTACTTTCACCACCCTACTTCAAACAAATGACAATTTAGATTTGGAAAAACCCCAGATTGTTAGTGCTTTCTTCTTCCCTGAGACAATCTGTCTCTCAATCTCTCTAGGCAAGAAAGAATAAAGAATACACCTCAGTCACAAAGTTTGCTTTTTACCCACAGCAAGCACTTCCTTGACGTCAAATCCATAAACATACCTAGTCGCACCACTTCTCCACAGTCAGGATCATGAGCAACTTGCAATAAAGTTTCTTCCACATCTCTGTTTTTTCCAGGAGGGTCCATAATATGATTTATTTGTTGCTGTAAGGTTTTGGGCAATGTCATTAGCTGAGTGAATTGTCCTTCTGGGCTTTTATCTATCTAATGGGGAAAAAAAAAGATAATGTCTATGGAAAGTCCTTTGAATTCTATAACGATTCAAAGAAACATGGCTTCTCCTTCAAGTCATATAAACATACATGAACCCATTCCCTAGACTGGGCAGCACACTAAGGAGACCTGCTCCTTTCTGAAACTGAATGCACAAGAGTTCAGATGCTAAGTTCCTTCAAAAAGGCCAACTCTTTTCCTATAGTAATCCACTTTCACATGAGAAAAGAAGAGAAGCCTCTTTAAAGGATCAATTTCTGACTCTCAGTTTTAAAATTTCTATTTGTCTTACATCCAGCAGTTGAAGGAAGTGAGGCTGCTGCTAACATTCACTGAGGCTCAGCAAATCCAGGCACTCAGACTCTCTCTCCCACTTTAAACACAGGGGCACTGAGCGACACAGCCAGGGTCATACCGCCAATCGGAGCGAGCAGCGTCTAACCACATGTCTCCTGCCTTCTGGGCCTTTTTATTCATCATGCTGTATTTCATTAACTGTGGGAATAAACTGAGGACAAGGACTAAACTTACTCGCTTTTAATCCCCTGGCACACAGTAGGTAGTCAAAAAACACTGGTTGAGTAAGGGAATGAATAACTGAATCAATAAAACTTAGTTGTCATTATTTCTTAAGTATGATTAAATTACACCAGTGGTTTCTGTGCCCCACATATTCTAAATACATCAAGCTGAAAGATAAATACAGAAATAAAACATACAAACTGTGCATCAGACTTGACTTTGAATCCAAAGTTAGCCACAGAGCCGAGGCCACACCTAGCCTGCCTAACTCCTAGTCTAACATACTTTACTTCACGGAACTAAGTTTTTACAAAATCATGTAAACATTGCCTGCCTGCCAAGGTGAGAACCGGTAGCACCGCCCTCAATGAATGGCTCATCCCATTATTTTTCAGGTAAGAATCTGTCTTGTATTCTTTTTTTTTTTTTTTTAAAGATTTTATTTATTTATTTGACAGAGAGAGACACAGCGAGAGAGGGAACACAAGCAGGGGGAGTGGAAGAGGGAGAAGCAGGCTTCTCATGGAGCAGGCAGCCCGATGCAGGACTCAATCCCAGGACCCCGGGATCATGACCTGAGCCGAAAGCAGATGCCTGACTGAGCCACCTAGGTGCCCTGTCTTGTATTCTTTCAACAAATGTTTAGGTTTTAACTTTGACTAAGGGAACAGCAAGAAAAAAACTAGACAAATGAATGTATTAAATTTTAGATTCAGATTTTCCAGATATGACTAACTTTCTTATTAACACTTAGAATTCACTCATTCTACCACTTTTTTTCATTTAATAAGTATATGAGTAGTAATGTCTAGATTTTCTAGTTTCCTATAAAATTTATGCAAAGAAGAACAAAGTACTATTATCTAGTGGCTCCAGTAAAAATTAAGGTTGTTGGGCGCCTGGGTGGCTCAGATGGTTAAGCGTCTGCCTTCGGCTCAGGTCATGATCCCAGGGTCCTGGGATCGAGTCCCACATCGGGCTCCCTGTTCCTTTGGAGCCTGCTTCTCCCTCTGCCTCTCTCTCTCTCTCTCTGTCTCTCATGAATAAATAAATAAAATCTTAAAAAAAAAAAAATTAAGGTTTTTTTTTTTTAACCTGAATATTTCATATTTATCATTAAAAAGATTCTAAATTCACAGGATTTGAACTCTATTTAGCTTTGCTTCAATAAATGACAAAAACTGTGGACATTACTGTATAATATATTAGAAATAACATATTTTGGGGCTAAGAATTGAGATTAGTCAAAAGGATCTTCTATTACTGTAAGGCTTTATCTATGAAGCTTTCAGGAATTTCAGAGATACCAAAATGGCTTGAGTAGTATGAGGAGTTAAAAAAAGAGTATTTGCCACTGCTTTCTCTTGAGGAAAAGAATGCACTGGAATTTTTGCTTGAAAGACAAAATATTAGGTGACATTTTCAAATAAATTGTTAAATTCTGTGTAATTATCCTTTTTGATTCTCATTAAAACATGGAAGTGAAAGCATTCAGTTAAATCGTGAGAATCAGTAAATAAAGGAGAAGAAATTTTTTAAAAAATCGTGAAAGTCAAACTGCATTTTAAAAGCAGATAAGACCACATACTACTGTATGGTTCCATTATATGAAGTGTCCAGAATAGACAAATCCATAGAGGCAGAAAACAGATTTATTGGTAGCCTGTCGGGAGGGGAAGCTAGGAACTACCAACGGATGTGGGGTTTCTTTTTGGAGTGATGGAAATGCTGTAAAATTAGACTGTAGTGATAGTTGCACAACTCTGTGAATACTCTAAAAACCACTGAATTTTATGGTATGTGAATTATATCTCGATAAAGCTGATGTTTTAAAAAAGCAGATGTGGTCATCTGATACTGGATGCTGTGTTGTACCACCCAGATGCTGGCTTAAGGGCCAAGGTACTCATTTCACTAGTTGCTGGGAAAGTTGGCTGAATCCCCCTCTTAGAGTCCCTCCTAGACTTGTCCTCAGCCGAAGGGAGCTGCCTGGATCCAATGACTGGACGATGCAGGAGTACAAAGGCCTGGCCTCTCTGCCCCAAGCTGGGACAACCAGGAAAGGCCATCTAGTTCCACAGCGCCACCGTAGGATCAGATGAGGGCTTGTTTCAAATCCACTCAATCCCGATCCTACACAATAGGTACCAGGAGCAGTCCTAAAGAGCATAGTCTATGATGGCATTTTAGAGCTGACATACTATGGAAGGCCAAGTGGAAGCCATGAAGCTGCCATTTTACCTCTTATACAAAATAGTAATTAAAAACAACAACAACAAACACCACATCTCAGGAGGAAAAGCAGAGATTAGTGCTATCTGCAAACCTAAATGATGCAGGGGTGTGATGTTTAGTTTTGTGTGACTTGGCTAGGCTATAGTGCTCAGTTGCTTGGTCAAACATTAGTCCAGATGTTATTATAAAAGTATTTTTTAAAGATATAATTAACATTTAGGTCAGCAGACTCTGAGTAAAGCAGATTACCCTCTATAATGCAGGTGGGCCTCATCTAATCAGTCAAAGGCCTTAAGAAAAAAGACTAAAGTCTCCAAGGAAGAAGGAATTCTGCCTCCAGATTGCCCTCAGACTTAAAAAAACTACAACATACTCTTCCCTGGGTCTCCAGCCTGCTGGCATGCTCTGCAAATTTCAAACTCGTCAGCCTCCACGATTTAATTCCTTAAAATAAATCTCTCTCTCTCTCTATATATATATCCTACTGGCTCTGTTTCTTTGGAGAACACTGACTAATACAAAGGCTAATAGTCCCCATCATATTTCCATTAAGTTTGGCCCTCGCAAAATCCAAATGGGCTCTGGAAGATTATCCAGACTACCACAACTCAACCAAGTAGAAGTCCCAGTTACATCTGCTGTGCTGGACATGGTAAATCTGTTAGAGCAAGTCAACAGAACTGCAGGTATCTGGAAGGGGCCAAGACATGGGGAATGCATTCTTTTCCATCTTTATTAGGAAGGAGGATCAGAAGCAGCTCGCATTCATGAGACAGACAATAGTATATCTTATGGTTTGCCTCAGGGCTATGTTAACTCTCCCATCCTCTGTCGTAAGATACCCCAAGGAAACCAGACTATGTGGACATTCTGTATAATCTCAGGCTGATCCAATACATCAACGGTATGTTGCTACTGTTACCTGGTAAACAATAGGGGCAAGTACATTGGAGTGCCTGGTAGATAAATGTACTCCAGGGGGTAGAAGATAAACCCTATGACGTTTCAGGAGTCTATCACATCAGTGAAGTGTTTAGGGCTCAAGTGGTCTGATGCATGGTGGGACATCCTCTCCAAAGTAAAGATCAACTTCTTGCATCTCGCACCTCTCACTGCTAAGAGTGAAGCATGAGGCTTGGTAAGCTTCTTCAGGTTTTGGAGGCAGCAGATTCCACACTTGGCTGTAATGTTCAGACCCATTAACCAAGTGGTAAAAAAGGATGCCAGGTGTGTGAGGCTCAGAGCAGAAAAGAGCTCTGCAACAGATCCAGGCAGCAGAGCAAGCAGCCCCCCACTTGGGCCATACAACTCTGCAAATTCTATAGCGTTAAAGGTGTCTTTGCTAAAAGAAGCCACAGGAAGCTTGTGGTAGGCTCCCAGTAGGAGAATCACAATGTAGCCTGCTAGGGTTCTACAGCAAGACCATGCCATCTGCAGTGAAAAACAAGACCTCATTTGAAATCAGCTCCTAGATATGAGACCCTGGTAGAGATGGAGCTTCTAACCATGGAGCAACAAAAGACCATGCATCAAGAACCGCCCATCACGAGCTGAGATCTCTCATATTCACCAAATCTTAAGATCAGGTAGGCTCCACAGTAATCCACTGTAAGATAGGAGAGGTACACTAGCATTCGACATGAGTAAGGCCAGAGGGCACAAGTCAGCTGCACACACAGGAAACCCAGGCCCCATAATATCCACTATGCACTGCTGTACCAGTGCATACCATCCTATTTCTCCACTGGTTCATGCATATGGCTACATGGAGGATCCCTTGTGACTGGCTTTTGGAGGATAAAGGATGAACTTGCTGCATGGATGATTTGGCTTGGTATGTACAAGCTGAAAATGATGCATTACAGCTTCACTCAGGGATAGCCCTGAAAGACATTAATGAGGCGAAATCGCTCCAAAATGGGTATGCTTCAGGCAGTGCACCTGGTCATCCACTTTACATGGAAAAAGTGGCCTCAGGAAAGAAGATACAAAGACCCATGGGGAGTGAAGCATGGTTCGCTGGTTGGTTGGGCCCGAAAGGAAAAAGACTGGAAGACTAAAGACAAAAAACTAGGGAGAAAAGGCATGTGGATGCATCTATGGGAGTTGTGCACAAAGTGTGAAGATCTTTGTATTTTGCTAACGTCCACGAGAAAGCATCCTTCACAGAAGAATCACCAATAACCAAAAGAACAATTCAGCCAGTTAATTCACTAGTCTCTGTCATCCCAGTGCTGGCACAATGGTTTTTTTTTGTTTTAAATTTTTATTTATTTATTTGACAGAGACAGACACAGCGAGAGAGGGAACGCAAGCAGGGGGAGTGGGAGAGGGAGAAGAAGCAGGCTTCCTGCCTAGCAGAGAGCCTGACACGGGGCTCAATCCCAGGATCCCGGAACCACGACCCGAGCCAAAGGTAGACGCCCAACAACTGAGCCACCCAGGTGCCCCTGGCACAATGGTTTTTAAAAGGAGTAGCCATAGTGGCAGGGAATGAGGCTCTGCCTAGGTCCAAGGCTGACTTAGCTACTGCTGTTGTTAAGGTCTATCCTGAGAGCAACAGAAGCCAATGCTGAGATCCTGGTAATAGGATCATCTCTTTTTTTTTTTTTTTTTTAAGATTTTTATTTATTTATTTAACAGAGAGAGAGAGAGAGAGCGAGCACAAGCAGGCAGAGGGGTAGACAGAGGGAGAGAGAGAGGGAGAAGCAGGCTCTCTGCCGAGCAGGGAGCCCGATGCGGGGCTCGATCCCAGGCCCTGGGATCATGACCTGAGCCGAAGGCAGCCACTTAACCGACTGAGCCACCCAGGAGCCCAGGATCATCTCTTGAAACTAACCAGCCACTTGGTGGAAGTTCACTACATCGGACCCTTTCCACCTGGGAAGGGGCAGGTAATTCATCTTAATTGGAAGTAACACATATTCTGAGCATGGGTTTGCCCTTCTTGCTAACAGGACCTAGCCAGCACCATTACAGGGCCTACAGAATGCTTGCTTCACCAACATGGCTGTACCATGTAACATCACTTACGGGACCCATTTTAGAGCAAAAGAGGTACAGAGGTACAGCAATGGGCACAGGACCACGACTCCACTCTTCCTACCATACACTGCACCAAAGCTACCAAACTGATAGAACAGTTCTCAAAAAGGGGAAATCTGGGGTCCACACAACAAAGAATTATCCAGCCTAAAATGCTAAGAGTGCCATCATTAAAAAATCCTATGACAGAGCACTGAGGAACAGCTGAGCCAGCAGCTTGGAGATGATACCCTGTGAGAATGGGGTACAGTACACATCCTAAATTAATGCCTGTTATATAGTACCTCATTCCCAACTGGTGGAATGCATAGGTCTGGGAACCAAGGGATGGAAGAAGTACCTTGCTTCCCATTGTTCCCAGTGACGCACTCAGGAAATGTGTGCTTCCCATCCCTACAACTTTAGGACTTTAAACTTAAAGCTAGGACTGCCACTCCTCTCTTCAGATTCCATGCCCAAAGTCCAGCAGACACAGAAAGGAGTAGCGCCACGGTGGCAGAAGTAACTGATCCTGATCATCAGAGGTAGGGCTGCTGGTACACATCTCTTAGTACCCTGTGCCCAACTTTGACGGTAAAGGGAAAGGGCAGCAATCATAGCCTGAAATAGGCAAGGTGACCGGGTCTCAGATGCCTCAGGGATGAGAGGGTTTGGGCCACGTCGTCTAGCCCAGCACAAGTGCAAGATGGGGGTGAAGGGAGTTTTGAATGGGGAGCATGGGAAGGAGCAGGTGGGCGTCAGTTACAGCCTCAGCAGCGCTGGGAACTGTAATTCAGCCCACGAATCTTACTCTTGTAAGCTTCCCCAGGATAAGAGATCAGTTAGAACTTAGATCATGCAGGCTTTCCCAGGCCATAGTGAGGAATTTGGAATGGTTTATCTTCAGGGTTAAAGAAAATTCCCAGCCCTTTCCCCTTGCTCAGTTTTCTGAAAGTTGGCAGCTAAGCACATTATTCTTCCTGATCCCAAATCAGGGAATAGATGATGTCCCTTTGGAGAAATTCTACAGATACTGACACCAAGAGAAACAGAGACAATGTAGAGAGCAAGATAAAATTTCAAAAATTATAATAAAGACCACTAGAGGGGTGATAAAAGATAATGCATTTGGAAAACAAGAACAGGATGCTTTAAGAAAAAAAGAACATTCAAAGGAAATTAAAAATTTAATAGCAGTGCTAGAAGATCAATTTGAAAAATTCTTCTGGAAAGCAGAACAAAACCCCCGAAGAAACAGGAAGGAGGAAAGAGAAATTAAAAAGATCAAACCAGGAGGTCTGACAACCAGCTAACAGGAATTCCAGAAAGAACAAAGTAAGAAAATGGATATGAAGAAATTATTATAGAAACAACAAAATTTCTTAGAATTGGAGCTCACGAGTTTCCAGACTGAAAAGGCTCATGAAGTGCCAGAATAATAGTGAAAAACACATATACAAAGACAAATCATCATGAAATTTAAGACTGGAAAAAGGGAAAAGACCCTAAACACTGTCCTAGAGCTAAAAAGGTCACATCCAAAGGCTAGCAATCTTTTTTCTTTTAATTTTATTTATTTTTAAAGATTTTATTTATTTATTTATTTGACAGAGAGAGACACAGTGAGAGAGGGAACACAAGCAGGGGGAGTGAGAGAGGGAGAAGCAGGCTTCCCACTGAGCAGGGAGTCCAATGAGGGGCTCGATCCCAGGACCCTGGGATCATGACCTGAGCCGAAGGCAGACGCCCAATGACTGAGCCATCCAGATGCCCCCAAAGGATAGCAATCTGAATGTCACTGGACTTTAATTATTATTATTATTTTTTTTAATTTGAGAGAGAGTGAGAGCGAGAGAGATCATAGAGAGAGAGGGAGAAGCAGCCTCACCACTGAGCAGAAAGCCCGACACGCGGCTCGATTCCAGGACACTGAGATCATGACCTGAGCCAAAGGCAGACGCTTAACTGACTGAGCCACCCAGGACTTTTAAGAACAACACTTAGAAACTAGAAGAAATGATGCTATGACTTAGAAAGTCTGAGGGAAAATTATTTCCAACCTAGAATGTGATATGCAGCCCAAACTATCAATCAGTGCAAGGGTAGAATGTTCAGATGTACATGGTCTCAAAAAATGTACCTTCCTCGCAACCTATGTTAGAGAGGTACTAACAGGTATATTTCACCAAAATTAAAGTGTAGCCATGCAAAAGGAAGATAAAAGATGCAGAAAATCAAAACCTAGCAAAGGAGAGAGGCAGAAAGAACCCTCAGGGTAATAATGAAAAGATGCTCCAGGAGAACAGCCGTGCCACAAGCCTAGAAAACAACCAGTCCAGAAAGAACAGGGCACAGGGAGCTCCAGGAAGAAACGTCCCCAAGAAAAACAAGAAACGAAAATACCTGAGGTGTTGGTGTATGATGAGAGAAGCTATACAGATTTGTAAGAGGGTATGAATTAGTGACAGGAACAAAGAAAATCAAGCAAATGAAGAAAATGAGACAATTATTAACTCCAAGAAAAACAAATCTGTGCAGGAAAGGAAATTGCAAAGTAGTGTATCTCAGCAATGAAGAAAAAGTAAGTTTCATAATAACGTAAATAGTGAATATTAACCTAACCAAAAATTATGAAATCACTGTACGGGGAGCAAGAGGGAGTGAGGCAGGAAGGGAAGTGTGTGTGTGTGTGTGCAAGTGTGCACATGTGCGTGCATGTTGATGGGAGTGACAAAAGAGAGTAAAAAAATCCTCATCTTTCATAGATGGAGGACAAAAATAAAGTATGAAACAGAAAAAAAATCAAGAGATCACAGTCAAATTATATTGTTTAGAAACAGGGAGGTAAACACAGGACCCACTAATGAGATGAAAGCAGTCGCCTCTGGGAAGTAGCACTGAGAAGTAGGAAGGTGCCGAGTACAGAACTGCTACTTTTTGTTATAAACCTTGAGGTCCCATTTGGTTTTTAAACCACGTGCATGCGTTACGTTAAGAAAAGTAAAAAAGTAAAAAAACTTGCAAAATTCGTTCAACTGACTGGTGGGTATTCTGGGCATTTCATGTTACTCTTTTTTTTTGTTTAAAATAATTCCTTTTTTTTTTTTTTTAAAGTTCCCTTTCAGTTGTAGAAATTCCCTTAATTCTATATTCAAAATAATTAATTGCCCCTATTATTTGGAGGAAGAGCATTTAAAAAGTAAAATACATAAAAAAAAACAACTCTGTGGTTTCTACAGTTTTAAAAAATCTTTTTTTTTTTAAGATTTTATTTATTTATTTGACAGAATGAGAGAGACAGCACACGCAAGGGGAGCGGGAGAGGGAGAAGCAGGCTTCCCACGGAGCATGGAGCCTGATGCGGGGCTTGATCCCAGGACCCCGGGATCAGGATCTGAGCCAAAGGCAGATACCCAACGACTGAGTCACCCAGGCGCCCCGAGTTTTAAAAACATCTTAAATTCAAATTACTTTCTCAAAGGAAAAGTCCTTTAATATTTATTTTCAAATACTTAATAATATCATTTTTAAAGATACCTGGAAAGAAAGTTTCATTTGATATATCAAAAGGAAAGCCAAGACATAATAAACATAACAAGTGAGGAAAAAATAAGCGTCAGAATACTATGTGTAAGTCTGTTTATATAGAACAAAACCAAACAAAAAAAGACCAAACTTCTTCATACATGTGTGTATGTACAAATAAATACAAAAATGCACCCAAAAAGAGATCTGGGAGAATATATGCCAAACTGTCAGTAAGGTTATGTCTGGGGAAGCAAGCAGGATTGGGGACGAAGATGCCAAATTTGAGAATTTATTTTCACTTGTTTTTGATTGGTAACTAGTACACATAATAATTTCAAATGGCAAAAAAGATACACATGGTAAAGTCAGGTCCCTCTCCCACATCAGCCCCAGGTTCCCTTTCCCAAAGGTGGCCTCTTACTACTAGTCTCTTATGTCACCTTTTAGCTTTATTCCAAATACATACACTAGTATGTTTACATTTGAAACCTACTTTTTAAACTGTAAATGTTATTACACTACTCATATTGCTCTAACCCTTACTTCTTCCTCTTAAAATAGCTCTTGCCTTAGAAACACCATAAATTATTTCCCACATACAGTTTACCTCCAGTCTGCCTTGCTGGATCTTATACACCACTTGGGGATTCTCCTGCAATATGTTGCCATAGAGCTCACGAAAGTGGGCTATGTTGGGCTTCACAATATTCAGCACTTTTGTCTTATCCTCTCCAACCACCATCCGAAAGTCGCCTGGTTAAAACAAATGGAAAAACAAATTTTCCATTGAGAGTCCACATCCTGACCTAAAAACTACAGCCCTACACTCATCCTACGCTAGTTCAAGACAGCATCATCCCACATTCAAAACACTGGTTTTTCTTCTTAAAAACATTTTTTTTTTTTAAAGATTTTATTTATTTGCGAGAGAGAGAATGAGAGACAGAGAGCATGAGAGGGAGGAGGGTCAGAGGGAGAAGCAGACTCCCTGCTGAGCAGGGAGCCTGATGCGGGACTTGATCCCGGGACTCCGGGATCATGACCTGAGCCGAAGGCAGTCGCCTAACCAACTGAGCCACCCAGGCGTCCCTGGTTTTTCTTCTTTAAAACTGTGAGTACATTACCCAAGGAATGCAGGCACTTGTTTAGGGGAAAACAGAGCCTCTCAAATCCTAAAGCCCTTGATGCCAGTTAAAATGCAGTTACCTAAGTGCAAAAGGTAATCATCATTGAGAAGCTGATTTGTTTTTGTTTTTCCAATTGCAGAAGCACCTATTCTTATAATCTTTCATCCTGTGAGCAAAACTCTGTGACCAATCATGGACCTGGGGGCTGTATGTCACCTTAGACGTGTCCTTGCTACTGCTTACTCAGTTTACTCAGCTTGAACCTCCTTGCTGTGTTTGTGCAAGGGCTTTTGCGGTACTTTATGAATATAAAGAACTTTATCTATCATATTTGGTAAGGGCAAGAGCACAGCGAGTGTTAAGAGTCCTAGTAAGACGAGGTTTACATTTAAGATGAACTTTTTGAAAGCAGATACCATTTGTTACATTGCAAGTGGTGAGAAATGAGGAACGTTACATTTGCCTATGGGATGGACTGAGCTGCAGAATAAACAGTTTTGAAGGACAAAGAGCCATTCCGACACAAATTTGAGGTGCCCTGGCCTGCTTATGCCACTGACAATGATAAGCAAGATGTGGAGGGAAAAAGACGATGAAATGTGCAAACTTGAGGGAATGCCTACTGGGCTAATGCGCATTCAAAAAAGGCTGGGTGCGTTGTGAGGGCCTCCCAGGTGAAGGCTGGCGAAAGCACTGTGACTGAAACTTTTCTTGGACAGTTAGAAAGTCATCCAGGAAAGCAGTGAGGTAGCAAGTGTAGGCAGGTACCCCAGATCCTGACAAATTCCCAGGGATCAGGTGACAGTGTAATTCGCCATTTGAACTAGGTTGCTTTTGAGGGTGAGGTGGGCATGATGAATAATTATACCAGGATAAGTAAAAACCGGGCAAACCCAAACATACGGTTACCCTTGCCAATTAATTTTCTTGGAGGGGGTGGCATGGGCAGGAGAGGGAATCATTGAAATTATTATGCGCCACAACAGATATTACTAAACCAAACTGTTGTTTTGTTTTGGAAAAAATACAGATACCCAATAGTATCTTTACTATCCTTCAGTAAGGAATAAAATATGCTGGGTTTTGAAGCTTCAGAGGACCAACTTATACTACAATTTTGTGGAAAGCAGCTGGGGACTGCAAGCTTCAGGAAAACAAACTTATAAACAGCCTCTGGAACCCAACGTTTGTGACATGAAGTTTGTTCAGGGAAGTGAGCAGAAGTGAGTTACAGTCATAACAAGCTGCCCCAATATGGACAAACTTATTTTTTCACTATTATTTTATTTTATTTTATTTTTTAAAGATTTTATTATTTATTTACTTGCCAGAGAGAGAGAGTGCGAGCACAAGCTGGGGGAGTGGCAGGCAGAGGGAGAAGCAGGCTCCTTGCTGAGCAAGGAGCCCGATGTGGAGCTCCATCCCAGGACCCGGGGATCCAGGACCCATGACCTGAGCCAAAGGCAGCCACTTAACTGACTGAGCCACCCAGGTGTCCCTATTTTATTTTTTTAAAGATTTTATTTGACACAGAGAGAGAGAGACAGAGAGCACAAACGGGGGAACAGTAGAGGGAGAAGCAGGCTCCCCGCTGAGCGGGGAGCCCAATGCGGGGCTTGATTCCAGGACCCCGAGACCATGACTTGAGCTGAAGGCAGTCGCTTAGCCCACTGAGCCACCCAGGCGCCCCTTTTCACTATTATTTTAAAGGGAAAGAGAGTTATATAGTTAAATTCTGGGGTGACTGCTAGAGAGGGTTTAGAGAAATTGGTTCTTTCACATAATACTGGTAAAATCCTTTGGAAAGCAGTGGATGAAACAACCCCATCTCCAGCTTAAAAAAACAGACCCAAACAGAGGTCCCGAGGTAATGTTCGCTGAGCATCTGGTAAGTGCCAGGCACTGCTGCAAGTGCTTTGCTGTATTCATTTAATCCACACATCTCTGTCCCCTCAGAGAGATACTATTCTATCCCCATTTAGCATCAGGGCAACAAAGACGGAGATGAAATCACCTACCTGAGATTTCCCAGTAAGTAGGTGAATATACTGCATACATACAACCGTTCACTGAGGCACTATTTATAATACTGAAACACTGGAAGCAGCCCCAACGTCGAACAGCAGAGGAATGGGTAAGTTACAACGGTACTTCCATACCCTACCATGGAACAGTGTGCAACCATTAAAAATTACAATAATCATACACAGCAAGGTGGAAAATGATCATATAATAGTAAGAAACTAACACACAAAAGTACAACAAGAAAACAACTTGGTATAAAAAGAGGAAAAATGAGACAAAAAGATTACATAAAAATGTTTTTGCTCTAATAAGTACACATTTATTGTGGGCTTTTTGGGGAGTGTGTGCGCCTTACGCTGTTATCTCGTTTAGTCCTAGCAAAGCCTCCTAAAGAAGGTATTAAGTATTCCCAATTTTATAGATGAGGAGATTGAGGTGCAAAGGTCCACCTCTGGGATCGAGGTAGTGACATTTTCAGTGACTAGTATTACTCTACTTTGCAGTTTTCCTTCATTTCCTTCACTTCTATAATGTTGGCATATTACTTCTAGCCTTTTTAAATAGATGCATGGGGTGCACAGACGTGCTAACTTGGCAAATATGCATGGAGAGGAAGCTGGGTTAACTTTTAATCGTGTAAATCCTTAGGCTTTTATTTAGAGCCTATAAATGGATTCTATCAATCTTGGAAGGGATAAAATGTCATCCAACTCTGAACCCAACATGGCTGGCTCTGACGTGAAAGATCAGTTTGTATCACCGTTGAGTTCTAAACATGTGTGTCATTTTTCTTCTTCTTGTACATTCAACAGGGAGTTCTTACATTTTAGATAGTAACTTTCTAAGAGTGGCTGTATTTTACCAAAATGTAAAAGCAAACTAATCCAAAGCCTCCCCCAAAGAGCATCTGCATGTCCTGATTAAAGGGCCTGGAAAATACTCTGGACTCTGAGAACAAGGACTGGGGCTTATTCATCCCTGTATCTCCAGCTCCTTGTGCACTGCCTGGCACATGGAAGGCGCATCAATAATGTCTGCTGAATTGAATTTCTCCAACTGCTGTGCAGCCGAACTAGCTCAGCCACAGGGAACAGCAAGAAAATGGGCTTATTACCCATTTCTTCAGAACAAAATGAATAAAATTGTGGGCACAGCATGACCCAGCATTTTGATCATAAGAATCAATTTTTCTTACCTCCAGAGATGTTTGCAACAAAACACAGGGATTGAGAAAAACCAACTGCTGACTTTTATTTTATTTTATACCTCTACTGGTAAGTTTAACTCTTGACTGCTCAAGCCAGAAAACTGCCAGTCTAATAACAATGGGTGACCAAAAGGATAATTTCTCTTCGACTTTGAAATGCAATAAACCCAGAGGCTTGTAAAGCATCTATAGTTGGCCCGCTCTGTGATTCCAGCATGCTGCCAATGGCCAAGGGCCTTATTATGAACGTAGGGATGTAAGGGGCTGCACTGTCCAGTGGAAAGGGCCTGGCTTTCAAGTCTGGCAGTGTCCCAGGGTAACTGGAGATTAACCCTTCTGAGTCAGTCCTCTTACCTGTAAAATGGCTGTAACCATCACACTGACTTCACAAGGTTATTTTTAGATTTAAATGAGTAAAGGCAGTAGTGAATGTTTTGTAAATAGTAAAGCAGATAGTCCTGTTGCTATGATATGCATATGGGATGGGGAAAGGATAGGGGGTAGAGGAAGCCCTAAGTCTTTGAAAATAATAACTGGCTAACTTTTCCCCTCTTAAACTCCTTGCAATACTGCTGTTATTTCAGTTCGATAAATATTTGGGCGGCTAGTAAGTACCAGGAGCTGTGCCAGATATTGGAGATATAAAGATCTTTGCCCTACCTGAGGCAGGAAGTGCTATGAAAACAGATCATTTCAGTGTGGGTTACAGAAGTGGGTATTTCTAACGTGGTAGTGTTTTTTAAGAATAGTAGCCCAAACTGGATGTTGATATGGCAGAATAATATTCATTTTTAAAAAAGATTTATGTACTTATTTGAGAGAGAGAGAGAGAAAGTGCGCACCCCAGGGGGGAGGGGCAGAGGGACAGAAACTCAAGCCGACTCCGTGCTGAGCTTGGAGCCTTATGCAGGGCTTGATCTCATGACCCTGAGATCATCACCTGAGCCAAAATCAAGAGTCAGATGCTCAACCAACTGAGCCATCTGGGTGCCCCAAATAATATTCATTTTTTTTTAAGATTTTATTTATTTATTTAAGAGAGAGAGAGAGAGAGAGCATGAGCAGGGGGAGGGAGAGAAGGAGAGGGAGAAGCAGACTCCCTGCTGAGCAGGGAGCCTGATGTGGGACTCGATCCCAGGCCCCTGAGATCACATGACCTGAGCCAAAGGCAGACGCTTGACCAACTGAGCCACCCAGGTGGCCCTAATATTCATTTTTTAACAGCTTTTAAAAAAGATATAATTCATATACCATATAATTCACCCATGTAAAATATACAATTTTTTTAGTATTTTTAGTATGTTAAAGGGTTATGCAACCATCTAATTTTAGAACATTTTGGCCTCCCAAAAAGAAACCCTGTACCCATTAGCAGGCACACTCTGTCTCCCTCC